TCCCACCAATGTAAGTGTCCCTCCTCCTGCCTGAATGCCAAGATGTACATACAGAACGCCTGCATTATACCTACTGCTGGAAAACGACCCCAGACAACTGCAACGGCTCCTGCCTCGGACTGTGACCCCCTTCTAACCTCTGAACTTGCAGCTTTCATCTTGGGCCCGTGCGCTTTCTGCGTGGTTGGATTATTGTTCTGCTCTAGAGCTGGCATCTACAAGGAGAGACATGGCAGCGCATTGACGAAGTGAAGCTTGGAGCTAGAACTGTGCAAAGCCTTTGCCCAGTGCTCGGGGGTTGGCAGCTGGATGGGTGGTGGCTCGGGTTCTCTGGCAGGTTGCCTCACTCCCACCTGCATGAGAAGAAGTATGTCCCCTTGGCGTCCCCCGCCAAAGCAGTGATGGTGAATCACAACTTCTACAGCACCCTGGCAGAAATCTTTTCTAGTTCACCAGTCGACTCTCCACCTTATCCACCCTAAGCACAGAATAATGTCCCACGGGCTGAGAGCAGCCAGATCCGAGGAGCCTTCACCAGAAAGGATTGTCAGGGTTTGAGGCAGCACTTCTGCTGTTTGGCTGGAGAAGGCAGCAGTGCCATTCCTGTGGGGAACTTGCTCTCCGTACCTGCAGATAGAATATCGCCCTCCTCTGCTGCTGCTGTCATCTCAGCAGTCGTGTGCTGGGTGACTCTGTGTGTGTCCGGAGAGGGTTGTCTCGTAGCCTCAGATGGGAGACGGGTGTTTGATTGTGGAGGCTGTAGGGCCTTGGGAAACTGTGTTAGCAAAGAGGTACTGGAACGTTGCTCTTTAAGAACAGAAAAGGCAGCAATACTTTTAACTCCCCCATCCAAAAATGCCAGGCAGAGGAGAACTCTTGAATTCTTTCTGAAAGGTTCAGGAGGAAGCTCTCTCTGCGTAGCATTTGTTGTCTAATCTTTAAAGCACAGGTGAGGGCAGATGATGCTGGTCTGCTGTGAATTCTGCATTACCACACTGAGATGACCTTGCCTCAAAAGGCTTTGTCCCCATCCCATGAGCTGCTGGAAGGAGATGGCTCTTTTCCTTCATGCTGTGGCTGTTGGTTAGGCAAGACTGTGTAGCTGCAGTCAAGGTTTAGAAAGGCTGTGTCTTGCCTGAGGTCATACAAAAAAGGAATTGAGGGCCGACCTCTTGTACCAAACACCACGAGCACTGACTTAGTTACTAACTAGTTTGACAAGAACTGACAACCTCCAAGAGAAATTGTGATGGCCCTCCTCCTGTAAGCTGCGCTGGGGGATTGCAAATGGGTGTCCTGCTTACAAAGAGAAGCAGCAAAAAATGGGGCCAGGAAGAGTGGTTTTGAGCTCAAGATGCAGAACGTGGCAGCTCCAGATGTGGAGACAGTGGTTTGTCCTCCCTTTCTGACAGTGGAAACAGTCCTGTCTCCACAAGGACAAGTCCCGTTTCCTTTGAACGTACCCTCGTGGGTGTGCAGGACTAGAGCAAGTAGCAGTTGTTAGCCATGAATTTGGAAGGTCGTGATGATCATCTTGTTTCTTTTCTGAAGCTGTGCAGCACTCTGGGGTTCACAGGGATTCTGGGGATGTCCTTGTGGTGGTATGAGGACATCTCGGGGAAGCCTCCATCTTCTGGGTAGGACACAGCTGTGTCCTGTGCTTGTCACCACAGACCAGGCTGCCCCCAAGGCTTGTGGGCTAAGGCTACTCGTGCTGCACGGATGCAGTATCCCCAGGGGAAGCTCAAATGTGTGGCATATGTCCTGATGAATCAGCACTGAAATGTTTTTTAGATCCACAGTTCCCCTGCAAAGAGGCAGGAGGACATCTCAGGAGAAAGGAGTGGAGCCACAGTGGTGCCCACGCTGCCCGTGAGCAGCGCTGGTGACACCCACACCCCTCTTGACCAAGGTGGGAAACCAGCTGGACGGTGTCCTGCAGCCATTGTGTACCGGGCTCTGCAGCTGCCACCTGCATGCGGGGGTACCTTTCCCCAGGGACATTTCACCAGGGCACTGCTGTCGATGCCAGGCTTCTCGTTCGCTTTCCCAGGCTTTCTGCTAGGAAGAGCTGTTTGGATCACAGCACAAGAGTGCGTTAAAGTTACCAAGGAAATTGACATTTAGACCACAGATTCCACAGACCTGTAATAGCTCATCAGCTAGGGCCAGGTTAACTTCATAATTTGGGTTAATTGAAGGGGAGGGGGAAAAAAAGCACTATTAGACCCAGTACCTTAGTTCTGTCGGCTCTTGCGTAGGAAAATACAGAGTTGCAACGTTCTTACCTCTTACTGTTTGTTCTGTATCTGGTTTTAGCAGTCGAAGTGACAGTACTCAGTCTCCTGTCACCCACTGGGCCCTGGCAACATAAGGAAACCGGTCTCGGGCCTCTGCCAACAGGTTCCTTTCCAGCTCAGTGCATGTTTTCCTCCAAGAGAAGCACATGTCCAAGAGGGGCAGCTACAGATAAGTAGAACCAGCCTCTGCGGTCAGATCCTGTGGGCATTCGGTGGCTGCTGGGCAGCAAGGTGAGAACTGACTGGCTTCAACACACTTCCCTGTCATATCTCCACTGTGATGTATGTAAAGTATCTTGTACGTTACAAAAGGATTTTAAAAAGTGTCTTAAGGCCTGTAAACTCCGCTGTTTGGTCTGAAGATGGCATTCTGTAAAGAGACCGCTGTATGAGTATGTTCCCATGCTTTGTCCCCTCTGCTATCAAAACAATGAACCATATCTGTTCTGTATGTAATAAATGTGTTAACATCAGCAAGTGTGGGGCATCTTCTTTCTATAAAAGCACTGGGATTTCTGCTCAGTCTTTAGTAACAGCAAGACACACACAAGGGTGGCGAGGGCAGCTTGAGTGACCATAGAGCAGTTCAGTGGCAAGAAGTGTGGATTGCTCACTAGGTCAGAGCAGAAGGGGCTGGTCCTGCAAGCCACAGTGCAACAGTGCACAGTGCTTCTCCCAGTGTCAGAAATAACATGTGGAAAAGACAGGTTCAGCGGCTGGCTGGCTGCAGCTGTCCTCATAGTGTCCCCTTCGGGTGAGCTGCCAGGGTTAACACATCAGGCTGAGCTTTCAACACTCAATTTGCCAATGTTGTGCCCTGTCATACAGGGTGGTGCTTCACAAGGTCATACAGGGAACCAGTGACATTCAGCACTGCAGGAAGCGAGTTGTCCTCAGGCCCAGAAGTACTTAGACACATTCATACTTATTTTGTAGAGCTTTACTAACTCAAGGGCTGTACTACATGGCAATAATAGATAAAGCCACCTTATTACATCCGAAGCGGCTTCTGCCCTGAGCAGGAGTCCCAAAGGTGAGTCACCTCCATGACCGGCACTTGCACTGCAGTCCTGTGCAGGCCAGCATGAAGTACCGCAGGCTCCAGGGTTAACAGAAGAATCTCAGCGATGCAGCTTGGAAACGGCGCTGGGACCTATCCCACACCCCTGGGGCTGCACCCTCTGATAGGGCCAGGAGCAGTTTGAGCAAGGACCGGTGTGAAGCGCAGCCAGCACCAGCCCAGCAACTCACAGCGAAGGCTGTGGAGACCAGAGAAGCTGTTTTGCTGCAGCTGCAGCAAGAAGTCTCAGCTTCAAACTGCTTGTGCCTAGCACCACTCTGCATTTCCCTCCTCTGGACTCTCCTGTTGCTTCTGAAGCCAGCGTGCCAGCCCTGGCCCGGGCCCATCCATGCTCCTGCCACAACAGAGGTACTAGAGCCCAGCTCTTGCCAGCCTGTGCATCTTGTCATAGGAGCAGCTTTTAACTCATGAGAAAAACCTTCCCCTCTTATCCCAGAGGAACCTCTGGGGAGGAACCCCATGGAAGCCCGGGCAGCCATTGTCGCTCCGTTCCCTTCTCCCCAATGACAACCTTTTCCCTGGTGGCTTGTCCCATCCTGGCCTGCCATGCACAACAGGAAAGGCAGAGTCCAGGTGGTGCTTTCTCTCAGTAAATCCCTTCAGGCTACTTGTGACCCGAGTAGGCTGCAGCAAGCAGAACAGCACCTCCTGACTACCAGCTATGGCAGGCAAAAGAACTAAACAGAGGCTTCTGGAGGGTTCCAGACCAGAACAGCTCTTGTGTCTCCTCCACCCACACCCACACCCAGCCCTCCAACAGCTCCTGACACAGCAGCAGAAGCCACAACCACCCCAAGAGGAAATGAAATGCTATGATCTGCACTAAAGAAGTTGCATTTTTGTTACGTTCACCACAAGGTGCTGCACTGGAACAGGTGGTATGCTGTGTTTGGCTTCAAACAGTAAAAGCCAATCCCGGATACTTTGCATTGCCAGAATTACAATGATTTCTCCTGTCTCCCGACAGCCATCTGTGGGAATAAGAGGCAGATACCTTTGGATGAGCCAGGCTGTGTTCCTCCCGTGTTGTTCATTGCCACCATCTGTATGTAACCCAGCTGATGCTGCAGTGGTTAAAAGGAATCCAGTGCCATTCCTGTATTTCGCAAGCTAGTGACTCTGCATTTGGACCTCATAAGGATCTCCAGGCACTGAAAAAAAAAAAAGCTACGTTTTCTTAGAACTGTGCTGCAGAAATCAGAAAACTTTTATTTTCATTAGTAGACATGTTTGTACACAGCTCTGTGAGATAATGCAATATTCTCAGTCATTTTTCTGTGATTTACGTAGGAGTCAAACTACCTGAAAAACATTCTTGAAAACCTAATTTTTCAGGCTGTAAAGAAAACTGTGCTCCCAAGAATTGTAGCTGGACAACAGGAGCTATGCATTCAGAGACTATACAGGGAACCAAGAAGGTTCCCCTGCTGACTGATACCAAAGTTATAGAAAAAAAAAATAATCTGAATGCATCTGCATGTGCATGACTGTACACGGCTGGGGAGAAAGGACACCCAGAGACACCACACTGCAGTGGACAAAGGGGGTCTTCTGTAAGACAATGTGCTTCTAACACACAGTGAGAGCACGCAAGCAGCTCAGGACACAGACACAAGTCTTCATACTGGTGTCCCTGCGGCTTTTTTCTCTGCGCTCTGAAGGGGAGAGGCCTTGAACTTCTGCACATCAATCATCGGCTCCTCTGTGATCGGTTTTCCCTCTTTCTGCCACTGTGCGAGGATCATGGCTCGGAGCAGAGGTGGGTATGGAAGGTACCGAATGGTCTCCTCTGGCACTGGGGTGAATTTCTTGAAGGCCTCCTCCTCATGCTTGGGCACCATACGCCAGTCGTGGTACATGACTTTGTCAATCTCTCTCACTTCTTTTTCGGTTTTGCCTGAGAAAAGATGATGAACACTAGCAGGCAACGCTATCAACAACCAACTCCCTCTGGGAAATGCAGCAAATAACAGCTCCTGGGTATCAAAAAATGCTACAACACGCAATAGTAAAGGAAGTTTTCAAAGGACAGTATCTTCCCCGCCATACTATGGGATCCCACTTCTGTCCTTGAAAATCAAAACAGAAACAGGCTGAAAGGACTACAAGCAAGTTGTTCCAGTCCCATGGTTGTCTCCCTTTTTTAATTTTAAATGTCCCTTCACCTCTCTCAGTTTCAGTTTCCACGGCTAAGGAACAAGAGTAATTTCACCCTATGCTAATGCAAGTTCCCTGAAAATTTTTTAATGTTTAAAAATACCCAACAACTTTAAAACCTTTGGATGAGCAATGTTTCAGAGTGACAACTATTCACCTAACGTAAAGCAGCGTTAAAAAGGGAAACGCACTCGCTCAACTTGGACCATTAATTTAAAATCCCAGTAACACGCGGTTACTGCCATCACTCCCCTTTTACTGACGGTTTTACCTGGAATACCCGCATGTGTTCACTCTGGGTTCTTCGCTCCCGCCTACAGCCGCCCCCCAAAACCTCCCAAGACCCCTGCGGGGGGAGAAGCCGTCCGTGTTACCTCTGAAGGTCAGGTAGCCCCAGGCTCGCCCGTGATCCATGTTCTGCAAAGAAAAGGAGCCCGGTGAGGGCAGGGGCAGGCCGGGGGGCGCCCGGGGGAGGGCC